AAAATATTTAACTGCTTATCAGGTTTAACATAGAAAAAGTAACAGATTTGATCTAAAATGTGTCAATTTCCTCTGGCAATGTGAAGTTATGAAAGAGGATAACCCCATACTGAGGACTGCACCAGAAATAATTGCAAAATATTTTGAAGTAATTCAACATAATTTACAAAGCATTTTCATTACGCATGCAACAGAAATCCAAAATGTGAAAAATTGATAACAAATTTGTGTGAAATGTGCTCACTCCATTAGCCCACCCTTTATAAGTGGTGTGTCTGTAATGATGGAAAGTTGAGGAGGCCTAAACTACGTAAAACTTGGTGTTGTACCAATGACAGATTACGAGAAAATCAAAACCAACGACTCATTTCACATTTAAGCCAGAGGATTTATTGCAAGATAATAACATAAATTGACAAAACAGTTCTGTGTCCAAATGCCACTTCAATTTATATTTTATTCATCATCTAATCTAAGGCTAGTGCATTCCATTCCCAACAATATACAAACCCGAAAAATTAATATGATTTTAACAGGAGACTCCTTTGTCAATTCCTGTCGGATTATTGTCGCAAATAATCATGTGTAAATAGACATAAAATATTTCTGACAGATCCGGCATCGAGCATTTACATGTTTCAATGCTATTCTTATAAATTATGTGTCATTTTCACATTACCAGATTAACATCCAATTTTCTAATTTGATAAATTGTTATTTCTGCACTATAAAAAATAATATCTTTTCAAATGAAATGCTGAGTTGCATTTAGAATCCTTTTTGGAGTTTGCCGTAGTTTACATGCACCGACTGAAAGTGATTTCCCTTTTTATTGGACGGTCTGCTTTATCTATCTGTTCTCATAAAAGATTACATGCTTGTTCTCCGTTCAATTGAAGAAAAACACGAATGTTCATTTCGGTCATTTCAAATGAATTTAGAAGGCATTTTTCTTGTACTGTCCTCCCCTGATAACAAGATTGCTGAGGTCAGTATGCTAATGGACTTGTCAGAAAAGGTTGATAGGAAATCCGCAAAAGATTTAGGATTCAATTAATTGAAACTTGATAAATCACACTAGACCCCATGGAAAAATAATCAAACCAACTTTCCCAGTATGTTGTTATGTACAAGCCAGAGAAAAATTCATTATCCGCTTGTTTTCATAACTTCAAAGCGCATTTGTGGAATAAAAACTTTTGAAATTAGTGTCGCCAATTTCATCTGACATAATTTCATTTGTAACATGCCTGTTATCTTTGGCAGAGACTTGTGGGGACGTGACAGAAGTGATATGTTTTTCTTTGCCCCCTCCTCATTTCTATCTTGACAACTGTATCCCTACCTATACCTACCAGTCCAGATCACAGACACACACAGAAAACGGAAATTGTTTTTAATTCATCAACAATAACTCTAGCTGTTACTTTGTTTAATTTCAAAATAAGTTGTCGATTATCAGACAGGCCTATTGGATGGCCAGTATAATGAAACAGTTGTTTACATTTACCATGGGGTGCCAACTATTTCATTCTCTGTAATATAAAGAAAAATTATGGAGTTAATGGTTTTTATTACAAATCTCACCCACGGCTATTAATTTTAGGGGATAGATTTACAAATCTGTCAGATTGTTTGAATTTGTTCATATGGTCACCAGGCTCTGTACAGGCGGTCCAGTCTTGTGAGAAATCGTTCCAACAATTTTTTGCATTGTACAAACACTGATACTTGTGATAAATATCAGACATCATTGTATAACAGGCATTGTTAGCTTAAATTGAACCAATCATTTTTTCTTACATCTCAATTCCTGAATATTTTCTGTTGAAATCTGCAAAACATTGCATTCTCAATTAAAACAAATATCACAGTTAAACAGAATTTAAAGTAAACCATAAACTTCATTAAGGAGGTTTGAGAAAACTATTTGAGCTGATTTTAAGCTAACTAGGTATTTACAGAGAATTCTCAGTTGTATAAAATACCAGCTATTTATGTAGGTGTATTATGCAGCCAGAAAATGTAACTAATTTTCAGGTGTTTACATATAAACGGCAGTGTACTGACAACTGTTAATGACTTGGCCAAGCTTTTATGATCATTCACCTGGTAATACAGGTATTGAATTGCTGTAATACGTACAGGGCATTAGGTTTTATTAGCATTGATATAGCACCTGACACGACCACCACACCTTTCTCTAATTAGCGTGATAGATAGGTGATTCTGGTAAACTTACTATATATTTAGTCAGCAACCTCAAGCTCCTGTACATATTGGGTATATTTGTGACATGTAGTCAACTATCTAAGACTCCTGTGAACTATCTGGGATTCCTGTACATATTGGGTATAGTCAACTATCTAAGACTCCTGTGAACTATCTGGGATTCCTGTACATATTGGGTATAGTCAACTATCTAAGACTCCTGTGAACTATCTGGGATTCCTGTACATATTGGGTATAGTCAACTATCTAAGACTCCTGTGAACTATCTGGGATTCCTGTACATATTGGGTATAGTCAACTATCTAAGACTCCTGTGAACTATCTGGGATTCCTGTACATATTGGGTATAGTCAACTATCTAAGACTCCTGTGAACTATCTGGGATTCCTGTACATATTGGGTATAGTCAACTATCTAAGACTCCTGTGAATCTGATGTAAGTGATGTGCTTCATTCCGTGTAGATAACTTGACCAATCAGAACAGTGTTTGTCATTAACTGCATTCAAAGCTGCTGATTTTCCTTACAAATTCAGATGACACAATTCTAGCTTAAGTGGTTATTTTAGAACATCTTTGGTATATGTACATAAAGGTTTTTAAGAAAATACAACTGATAAAAATTTTGGGAACAAATCTTACCAGAATTAGCAGAAAACAGTATATAATTGCAATGAGTAGCTGCATTCAAAATGGTGGGCAGACTTCCTGTTAAGTCAATGCCATCATTAATATGGCACCAAAGAAAACACAAGTAATCCGTGAACTTTTTTAATTCAGTAATGTTGTTTTTTTCTGCTTATAAAATATAATAAAGAGAAAATATAGTTTTCCATTTGAATACAACTTACCATGGTATATTTCATTGTAGGGCAGAACATGTTGAAATTTGCAATTGTGTTTCACACTCGTAAAATTCATAGCTACTTGGGAAATCTAATGGTACTTGACTGGAAACCTTTAAATACTCTGGGACTAGATTTTCTGTTACTTTGGGTAAAGTTGAGATTTATTATTAATATTTGACAAAGCCTTGTAACTTTTTTGGTAAATTTCTGACTTATCAACAATCTTTGACAAGTTTGTGTAACTATTGGGTAAATTTCTGTGGCCAAAGGTTTTAAATTACAATATATCAGAAGTTTAAAATTCCTTCTCTTTTCCCCGATATCACAAGTAATCCAGATCAAGATCTATATATTAAGTAAGTATATGATGAATATCGATCAATCATTTCTATAGCTTTGCATGAAACTCTGAAGAAAAAAAATGAACCAAAAAAATCCTGAAAAAAAACATTAAGATTTATCTTCTGTGAAATGCTGTATTTTTCCAACAGTGTGTTGACTATAGAAATACGTGTTGTGCAATATAGGTGCACATCTGTGGTGAGCTGATAGCAATAATACCTACCGCTATGCCAATCTTAGATCAAGGAATCACATTCCGAGGAACACCTGGCACAATCTAGTCTAATATGTTTACTTCAGTACATTTCCAATGTATTCAATGGTTTCAAACAACACACGTATATGTAAGAAGGTATATGGCATTCTGATATAAAAAAACATTAAAGTACAAATACTTTTTCCGCATTAAGTTTTTGCATTCATTTCATTGTCAGTTTTATCATAAAAGTGTGCTATTAAAAGAAAAATTGCTAAAAATACATTTCCTTAATCTACAAAAGAAAGGTGTGTTACTTATTCAATCCAATATTTTGTAAGTCAAATTTGTTGTTGTTATTTTTTTTTACATGTAGTACCTAAATAATTTTGTTATTACCATTTTATTTAACTTTTTCTATACATATTCAATAACAATGTATTACCTAAATCACTTTTTTAACTTGTTCTTTATTACCTAAATTAATTGTTTAGTCTAATATGTCATTAACTTATGTTCATGTTGATGTTCTTTCAAACTTGATGCAATGGCATACTGCTTTAAAAATAATCTTGGAATCTACTGACTGACCTTCACAATGACCTTTAGACTGACCATTAGGTGATGTGGCCAGGACTAACATTTATGGGCAAGCTTCGGACTGGAGCTGCCTTCAGATTTGAGACAACAGCTTTTTAAAACCATGTAGCACTGCCTTGCGTTTAAGATTATAATGGTCAGACTATTATAATGGAGCCCCATCAGTCACTCTGACATGCAAACTTTAGGTAGAAATGGACACTCCTGACAATAGCTATTGAAACCCCATAAGGTCCATCTGACCCTCTGGTCAGGCCATATGTAATAGACTGAAATATAAAACTAGTACACACACAGGGAGATGTCTTGTTTTTCTGGGAGATATAAATGCTTGTTTTTCAGCCAGATATAAATCCTAAGTGAAGTTTGAACGATGGATATTCCTGCATCTTGTTAAAGACTGGTCCTGATATTCCCCGTCTTGTTTTCCTGGGACATCGCAGTGCCAGATTGTTATCTATATCTTTGTAGCAATATTACATTGGAATGTTGTCATTCCAGAATGTACTTAGGGAGTTTAGGGATCGGGTATACACAATTCTTCAGTACACTGTTGGGAAGACAATTGTATTTAATGAATAAAGTTCTCAACCTTGTAATGAGGAAATGCTTCCCACCTAAGTAGTGCCCAGTGCCATCCCTTCTGAAGAACTCCCTTGAAACAAACAGTACAGTATCCCATCACTGAATGTTTCAAAAACTTTGACCTTTGTCCTTTGACCTTGATGTAAATACAGAAATGACTTTATTTTAAACCACTGATAGTATTCATTATAAACTTACCATATAGTCGCGGGTCATACTGGAAGTGATCTCCGTCCAGACGGCTCTTCTTCAGTTTCTCCAAAGTTTCTGGGCTGGCGTGGAGGTGTGGGTTCCTCTTGGGAGGACGACCAGGTCGGGCACTACAAAAATAAAACAACACAAATAAAGTATTTTGAAACATAAAAGTTTGCTTGCTTTAGTATTACAAAGACTTGTATGCCAACAGAGCCATACACTTAAAACCTTCTGAAACAAAAAACTGAAAATAACAATTCTGAAAAAAAGGAAAGTTTTATACATTTATGGTTCACTGTCTGACTTCTATAGAGAAACAGATTGTTAGACTTGTTGACTTACAGATGTTGTATGATGACTATGAGTTTTGTTATCAAAATATCTGGTATCCTAGAAGTATGGGTCAATTTAGTGTACTGTGAAGGGGATATTTGACTTAGAAAAAATGATTTCAAATGAAAAGTTTCATTGAAAATTACATTTTTCATTGAAAATTACTTTTTTCATTGAAAATTACATGTTGATTATTTCAAGTCTGCCTTACTTTACACGAACAAAAAAAATAGAATTGCTTGCTGACTTCTTTGCCAATTTGATGAATTTAAGGTGTAGAGTGATATTTAATTTTTGGGATGAAAGGTGACATACTAGGCATGGCACGGAGCAGTATGCACATGGGGGTTTGGTACATTAGGCAGCCCAGATTTAATGAGAGACTGTTTCTCCAAAATACTCCTACATATGAAAACAAGAAAGTGCACAAAAAGAGTTACACACTCAAAGTGCACCTGACCTTGGAGATTATGTATGTCAATCGTTTGAGAGGGCGATACAGAGATACATACCAGAAAAAGAAACCCACGATGATTTATATCAAATTTCTGATAATTCATCCCACATCTGAAATTTATAGAGGAAATGTAAAAATATGCCACTGTGGCTAATATTTGCATTTTAGCAATGGCCATAAAATAGCTCCCGGCGCGAGTGCAGGCTTGAGAGCCGAGAATTAATATAGTTGTTGAGTAAATATCTCAGTCTCCACAAGCAAATGGATACTTTGAAATCTTTTTAGTATTTACTTGATCCGCAATCATGATATAATTTCTGTTTATGTCTGTTATCATTAAGTTTGATTGGGTTTATTAGTACAGGATCTTCCTGCACACAGCCTGCCACTGTATATGAGGGAAGATCTCTGGAAAACCTTTCTATCAATCAAACTCTGTCACAAATACTATGGAATATGTGTCCTACAAAATGCAATTCAAAAACAACTTTCATTGAAGACATATTTTGTAACGGCGTTTCTAAAATTTCAAGGTTAAATCAAACGTGAATCCAACATAAGAATTTTACTCTTGGTGCATCAATCTAAACATTTAAATGATACGTTGAAATATTTTTTTAAAAAACATAAATTCTAATAAACATCACTAAAATAGATTTCTATATTACATACATACAAACATACATATATACCGTTCACCAAGATAAAATAGATTCTATATTACATACATACATACCGTTCACCGAGATAAAATAGATTCTATATTACATACATACATACTTACATGCATACATACATACATACCGTTCACCGAGATAAAAAAGATTTCTATATTCCATACATACATACATACCATTCACCGAGATAAAATAGATTTCTATATTACATACATACATACATACATACCGTTCAAGAGATAAAATAAATTTTCATTTGAAATTGATATCATTACCTATAAAAAACACTAATTATCATAAACATCATTAAAGGGATACTTAACCTATAAAAACGATTGGATCTACACTACACTACAGCACTAAACACCTCCCATAATGATACCAGGGAATTCAATTTGGAAATGTGGGCCTCTTTAATATCCCTTTAATTCACAGTTGTATAGTCCAATGGTTTCATCCATTCATTAAACAATGACGCCTATCATTGTAAAATTTCTAATGTATCAGAACATTTTCAATTTTAGGTAAATTGTTAAAATGTCCCATATTAAATACACATTTCAAACATAATTCAACATATTATCATAAAATATATTAGGCCGTAATTTTTCTATCACATGACAAACCCCTTTGTGACTTTAAAGTGAAAAGCGTATCTTTTGTGTTGACATTTACATATGTGGTTTACCTCGGTAGCGGTGGCCTGTTAATATAGCGTAGCGGTGGCCTGTTAATATAGCGCAGATATAAAACCAGAATCCACCACAGTTGCGGTATAATTTGAGGGCCGATAGAGAATTGGGAAGGTATACTTTATCTGCAATTAGAGATCAAGAGGCTAGGTCTCTGGCAGAACTAACAGCAGCTCTCGTCGTTAATAGTAGAACGGGTATCATTTCCTCAGACCTGGTCAATGGGTGTAGGAAACAGAATCTACCCGCGATACTATATATGGGTAGGTCCGTCTCGGTAAACGGCTGTATCTGGTTACATACGCCACAGATTTTCCCTTTAGTTGTAAGAAGACACTATGAATGAACGAACATTGAAGAAATTGCGTGTTCACCCATGGGTTAAACCATGTCTGCCTATTGAGTAACTGTTGATGTGGTATTATATGTAGTGTATTGTGAAGCTGTTTACAACCATAGAACTACCATAAACATATACCCGTATCACAGCAAAATGGCCCATACTTCTCTCATATAGACATACAAATGTCCAAAATTTAGAAAAAGAACAAATATGATCAATGAATTAATATCAAACATTGTATAAAAGGTGTTTCAAAACTAGTAATATCTCCTAAAATAAAACCTTGATTAAGATATCACAATACATTGATGTATGCAAATCACAAAGACATTGCTACAGTCTATTAAGGTCTCAATGTTCACAGGACAATAGCAGCTTACCTGTCCGTCTCCTGTCTGACAGGGCATGAGGACAGGTGCTGACCATGTACCAAACTGAATACCTTAATCATAGGTTATTTGTTCCGTTTACTTTCAGAACATCTTTCTGTTTTGGGAGATTTTCATTGAAAATTTAAAACGAAGACCAATTGTTTGGATTTAAGGATATTACAGACATGCAGCCATATTTGGGATCTCGTCACTCTTCGGAGTGTGAAGATTTGTGATATAATTAGAGAATAAAAATGTTTTTAACATTACACAAAATATAGAACATGTGTGAAGATTAGATATCCTGACCTATACTGGTACATATATATACATGTAGACTTCAGATATACCGCGGACATCTGCCTGACCCTCGTGACCTGGACAGGTGTTTGACACGAGTTGTCCACCTTGGTAGAATTATCTTACACTTTCAAAGTTACAAAGAAATTGTTTTTCCGAAAAAATGTTCAATAATAATGACACATAATGACATGTTGTATTCAACTGTCATGGACAAAAATAAAACTGTGGAGCTAAAAATACACACATTTGTCAATAAAGTGCGTTTACACATTGTCACTGTTAGTAAACTGGTGATATACATTATGTTGTGTATTTACAGTTGAAGAAACTCCTCAATTTTTTCACAGCAATTTTACGCAATATTATTACTACTACATTGTACGATAAAACCGTTTTTGAAGATACAGCTTGGCATGACTAATTTGCAGCAATATTTGTCATTTTCTAATTTCCTCGTCCAATTAGGGATAGAGATCAGACCAGATACCAGTAATTTACCTGGTGGAAATGAGAATTATTGATAACCATTTCAACATAAATCATTAAATTTCCCCCAATATCAGAAGAATCAGCCCCATACGGCAGCCCGCAGTAGCTGTTATTGTAGACTTGTTTGTGCAGTTTCATTTAGAAATCCTATCTAATGATAAAAATTGCTAAATAAAAGGAAATAAATGTTTGAAAATTCACTGAATTTAAGGGGTATTACTGTCAAATGAGATTGCCTAACATCCATGCCAAGTCGCCTCCCTGCACGGCCAATTAGAGAAGAATGAAGCAGGGAAAGTTTCATTTTGCCTCGTTTCTTTAAGTGTACCGGTAGTTACTTTTATTCACTTTGTACAAACAGCCGTCATATTCAATGATAATAAAATGTATTTTAACCGTGCGACCGTTTTCCAATTCATTTAACTCCAATGGTGGAAGCTATTGGCTTATGGATGCTGTGTTACACATTCAATTTCACTTCTTCAATAGAAAAGCAAACCATGGATTTATGGCTTCTCATCCTCGGCCTATTGACAGTTCTACAGGTGATAGATACCCTCCCAATTTATTTTGGATGCCATTTTAATTTTTAATATCTTTTCTTTTCATGGATGAGCAGATCAAACAGACTCGTAGTGCAGTGAAGCGAGGCTAACCAGCACCTACCAGCCCTCCCCTCCCATCCCGATTAGAACAGTCAGATAATAACCTATAACAAACATAGCTATAGAAAATTGAAAAACATTACCCTCACAGAATTTCCAATTCCAGCATTGGCTATTTGTGAGCAGGTGCAAATGACTTAAATTGAATTTTTGCAAGATAAAAATAAAAAAGAAGATATCTGCGAAAGAAACGATGTTGTCAGAGTGGCACACAATCCTGCACAATTCTGTCCTCACAGTTACAATAGAAATGGAGGGAGGAGTCTCTTTGTGCCCGTGTGGTATCAATTAAATCGTCCTAGTCCTATGGAGGAGTTCTACATGTAACAATTGAATCAACACAATAGGTGGAAAACTTCTTCACGAGGCTGTCTTTTGATGCATTTGTCTCCTCCAGTGTAAGTTTACCTGACACTCACAATGGGATAGTTTCCTTTGTACGAAGGCCCTGCGTACTACAGTTTTCGCCCGTATCTTCGGCAGTGGCTACTCTAACTTTTTTCTGTGATTCTAATTTAAATTCATTTATCGTATTCCGATTTGATCTCCATCGGCTATCAGCATGAGCAGCTATTGTAGTTAAATGCTGGGAAAAAAATACGACACGATTCAAAATTGGAGAACATATCGTATCAGGTTGATTATGGCCACACACAAACCCTTGACTATAGAGACAGTCAAGGGTGAATTGTATAAAAACCTTTCTATACATTTGCTGAAAGGGATTTAAAACCCCATCACCTGGAAAACGAAATCTAACTAAATTGGTATACCCAGAAAACATATATCATTTAT